ACCCTGAAGACTTAGAACTAGGAAGCCCTGCAACTAACTCACCAACAAACTCACCAAGGGCCCAGGTCCTTTCCCCTCCTGCTCATCAGATGGAACAGCTTCCAGCACATAACTGTCTTTACTGTGTGATTCAAAAGTCTTTACATACACAAACTACTATATGCAAACTAACTTAACAGAATCCACAACCATGCAAAAATCCCTCGGTGACACTGCCTTTAAGACTCCAGGCCTGGAAAGGTTCTGCTGAATGACTTTGGGTGCAGATGTCAGTTTCCCTATTCCTTCTGAGGGATGGTGGGTAGAAGACAGCGCTGCACCAGAGACAGCAGCACTACCTTCGCTGTCACCCCACATCTGACCCGATCCCCTCTCCCAGTGCTGCCTTGACAAGAAATGTCCTTAGCCTTTACCAGGCTTGCAAAGCCAGTCCCTCCAAATCCAGTACAAAAACTGAAGGGCAGACACCCTGGCAGAATGCCATTCATCCCACGGCAGTCTCTAACATTGAGGCAAGCAGCTGCCTCACTTTCCTGGCATAACAAGGCAAAGTGTGCGAAGTGCATCTCTCACTTACAATAATGAAGTGCTGTGGCTAAAAACTGAAGTTAACAGGCTGGGGAGATGGCTCCGTTATATAAGAGGCACATAAGCGTGAGGATCTGAGTTCAGATCCCTGGCACCCACGTAAAGAATGTGACTCTGGGCGGCCTGTATTCCCAGGGTGAGCTAGTGTGTGGGGTGGGGAGGTGTGGGGAGGTGTGGAGAGGTTTGCTGGAACCTGCTAGCTAGTTAGCCTTAGCTTAGGTTCAGCAAACCCAGGCTGGGTAACAGACCCTGTCTAAAAGGAGAGTAAGCAAGCAATGTTTTCCTCTGGTCTCTGCATGGGTCCACAGAGGCACACACAAGAAACAGAAGAGATCGGAATGAAGTTAAAGAAAGTCATTTTGTTGGCTCAGAATAAACAGGCTAAACTCACTGAGAAACTAAACCATCCCTGAAGCTCCAGAGCACAGCTCATTCCTCCAAGAAAGGATCAGTAGAAAAAGAAGGTCCTCCAACACACCCCCCCTTTTTGATACAGTTCACTTTAATCTAAAGGGGATTATTTTTCCTTTTTCATGTCTTCTCATTTATTTCCAGATTCTTCCAATGGTTCGTAGGTAACTCTGCCCTAGGAAACCAATAGCAGCAGACAGGCAGGAGCCAGTTGGCAGGGAAGAGACAGAGAACACACAATTTCAGGCCACAGTGATTAGTGGCCCTCTGCTGCGCCTGTGTCCACTGTTCTTTTCCATAAATGAGAACGTGATTGAGGAGAGGAGCAGAGAGGAAGGCTAAAATAGGTCACTATACTTCTGCTGACCCCAGAGCGTTTGTCTCAGGAAAAAACTGAGGAGACAGATGTTGCTAGCTAACATTCCAAAGGTAGAAATGTCTTGAAAGGTCCGCCAACTTCCTTTCCCTGGAAGGTAAGCATCTAAGATGGTGGCGGAAGACACTGGGTAGTGATGAGACTACTACTATTCAAGGCTACCCACTGACATGAATTGGCTGTACAATACTAATCAGTTAATTTCTTTGGGTCTCGGGCCATTTGATTCTAAAGTGAACACATTAGGGTCCTCCAACTAACAGGACTAGTATACAAGAAAGCTCAACTACTGGAACAAGCTTACCTTCCACGAAGGCAGAAGCAGCTTGTACTGGAAGAAGTGATGTCCACCCATTGCTCCATGGGTAGACAGGAGAAAATGAAACAAACTTTCCTCTCCCTGAGTAATGAGCAGAGTCTCTCACACCAGCAAAAGCAACTCAAGATGTCACAGCAAGTATGCTTTTAGCTCAGCTCTCATTTCCAAACCACAGAGGAGAGTTTTAAGAAACCCTCCAGCTATCTGGGTGGTGGTGGCAGCAGCAGTAGTACCACACACCTTTAATCCCAGCACTTGGGAGGCAAAGGCAGGTGGATCTCTGTGAGTTCGAGGCCAGTCTGGTTTAGAGTGAGTACCTGGACAGGCTCCAAAGCTACACTACAGAGAAACCCTGTCTTGAAAAACAAAAACAAAAAAGTTGCTCTCTGACCTTCACTGGCAAGACCCCCCCCCCATAATAAGTTTTTTTTTTAAATGAGTATGTGTCTGTGAGATATATGCCATGTATGCAGATGCCGGCGAAGACAAGATGAAAGCAAGACATCTCCAAGCTGGAGTTACAGGTGGCCCATTGTGGGAGCTGGGAACTGAACTCAGGTCTTTTGCAAAATTGGCAGGCACACTCTTAACTGCTAAGCCCTCTCTCTAGCCCTAATAAAGACCACCTTAAAATCATTCCAGCTAGACAATGGTGACACGTGCCTTTAATCCTAGTACTCAGGAAGCAGAGGCAGGCCAATCTTGGTGAGTTCAAGGCCAGCCTGGTCTACAGGAGTTCTAGAAAGCCAGAGCTAAAACACAAAGAAACCCTGTCTCAAAACCACTCCAACCTCCAAATCATTCTAAAGGGGAAAAAGTCAGTAAGCATTGTCTAACTGAACACCACTGAGCTACCTGCTATAAAAGACTGCTTAGCCAGTCATGGTGGCTCATACTCTTAATCCCTAGCATTGGAGGCTGAGGCAGGTGGATTGCTCAACTTGAAGCTGGCCTGGCCTGGTCTACCACCAGCCAAACAGAAAGCAAGCCCTCCTGAATCAAAATCCTAAGACTGCTGGGCATAGTGGCCTTTAATGCCACTACCTGTGAGGCAGAGGCAGGCACATCTCTTGTGAGTTCCAGGCCAGCTGGGGATATATAGTGAGACCCTACCTCCAAACAAACAACTATGTGCAGAAGCTCTGTAGACGCAGGCTGAGTGATGACACTGTCACGGAAGAGTAAATGAATGCTTATGGCAGACCTTCCCAAGCTTTTTAGAACTACTCCAAGCTTCGAACTTTAAAGCAAGGCTTAAAGATGACGTGCCTTTTCCTCTTTTGAAAGAAGAGCAGCAAGGTGTTTGAAATATGACCATAGGGTTTTCCCTCTGGATCTTCCCTCAAGAGAGCAAGATTAACACAGTTAAAAGTGTGGTTCCTCCCAAAGTCAATTAGAACTGAGTGCACCTGTTAGTGTGGCATGTGCTCTGAACTTCTGGGAGCATGTGCATTTTACTGACCAATACCACAAAGAACTCGAGTAAATTACAGATCTCTCTCCACCACCTTGGAAATATTTTTTGTTGTTGTTTTGAGACAGGTCTCACTAGGTAGCCTTGGGAAAGCAGTGTATAAAATGGGCTAGCTTTGAACTCACAGAGATCAACCTGCCTCTGTCTGCCAAGTGCTGGTCACTAATCTCTTTATTTCTTGAAAGTTATCAGTTCAAATTAAGACAATTCCATCTGGGTCTGACCAAGATTTTTCCTGATTTTTGGTTCCACCAGGTATGGAGGGGCACACACACCAACAAACCCAGCCCTCAGGAGGCTAAGGCAAGAAGAACATCATGGGTCTGAGGCCAGCCTGGATCACATAAAGAGGGATAAGTAGTATGATGGACCATATGGTGAAACACCACCTCCAGAAAGAAAGAAAGCAAAGAAAGACTAAAACCTGCTGGTCTTGAATAGACCAAATTAAAAAGGTTTTTTTGAGCAACTTAAGCCACTGCCCCTTCACCAGGATCTCCACTGTTCTACAGTGGACTTGTCTTATGGATTCTTAAACCTGTCTATCCATAAGGAATGTCTTCCTTTGCCTGGGTCATTTTGAAGGTCTTTCAGGACATTCATTCCTTTCTCTAGACTGCCCTGGCTGGATCCTCTGCCAGGTTTTCTCCTAGATTTGTTTGCTTTCCTTTCCCCTTCCTTGTTGGGTTGGTTTTTTGTTTGTTTTTTTGAGACAGGGTCTTACACAGTAGCACAGGCTGTCCTGGAACTCATTATGTGGCTGGGGCTGGCCTTAAATCGCAATTCTCCTGCCTCTTCTAGCAGGAGTAATGGGACCACAGCCTCAAACTACCACGCACAGCCCCTGGATTGCTATCTCTTGGTGTTGGCAAGGCGGTTCTTTATTCTGTGCCCTCCTATTGCACAAGATTCCCGGAGGGCCAGGCCCAGTTGCAAGTGATTGGTTGAAGAGAACTTAGGAGCCCTGCCCCATGGTCAAGACTACCAACCCCATAGACTGCAAAAGCTGCCAACCAAATCTTCGCCGGCTAACCAAAGGCCAACCCGCTGGGTCACCAAAAGAAGGCAAAGTTCTGAGATTAGAAAAGGAAGGCTAGTTCCCTTCATTAAGACCCTGAAGATCCCTTTCCAAGCTCCTCCCTCTAGAGAACAGCCCAGAAATGGGACAAACAACCTTTGTGCTTCCTTCTCCCGTGACCAATACAACATGTTTCACCTCTTCTCTAGTGTTGAGGGTAAATAGTTCCGGGCCATCTTTTGAAAAGCAACCCCAGGAACCTCCTTTTTCACTGCCTCTTTCTACAAGCCCCTTCCCTAGGATCACGCAACCTAACCCGCCTAGTGTGCGCTGTTTGACAAAGCCCCCTTCCACAATCTCAAAGATGCTCTCCCAAAAGCCCTGGGCTGAAAGCTGACAGCGCCTCTACCAGAGCCAACAACTTCGGGGCTACCACAGGAGGCATTTTATCCCCCAGTTCTCCCAGCCTGGGGCTCCCCCACCCTATGATGACTCCTCCAGCAAAGTAAACAATGCTGTCAAAGGAGGATAACACTGGGCGAGGCAAGCCAAGTGCATGCCAGCCTCGTCCCGGGGGCTCTCAGCACGGTCAGCTAAGTCATCGTACCGTTCCGCGCCGGACCTCCCTTCTCGTTTTCCCTCCCTCGAAACCCGTAGGGCAGCTCCAGAGACGAGCCCCACTTCGCAGAGTGCACGCTCTGCAGCACACAGCCCGCCCGAGCGGCGGACGTCCCCGGGAAAGGAGAGGAAGCTGTAGTTCGAGTATACAGTGCCACGCGCCAGCCGCGATGGCGGGCAGGCCCGGACGGCTCACCTCCCGGCGTGGTGGAGAAGAGCGTCCCCCCCGGGCGTGGTACAGTAGTCCTGAGGTAGCTGCGCGGCGTCGCTGATGGCCACGGTGCGCGTGGGGATGGCGCGGCTCTGGCTGGGCTGGTGGCCGCCGCCTGTCGACGCGGACATGGCTCAGGCGCGGGCTCGCGGCTTTGTGCGGCGGCGGCGGCGGGACCCGGGAGGCTCTGGCTCCTCGAGCGGGCGGAAGAGCGCGCTGGGCTCTCAGCTCGCCGGCTCACGCTCGCTTGGTCCGCTGCACTTCCGCTCCCGCCGCCGCCGCCGCCGCCGCCGCCGCCGCCCGGTCCTCCGGCCTCCGCCCGCAACCTCAGCAGCACCAGGAGCAGCAGCGGCAGCAGCGGCAAACGGTGATTACCGGAAGCGAGCGAAGGCGGGAGCAAGAGGGAGGGGAGGGCAATATGGAGGGCGGACGTGACGTAAGGGGGGCGTGCCGAGGGAAGGGGAGACGGGGACCTGAAGGCGGGGCTGAGCCGAGGAAGGCTTGAGCCTGAGGGTGATCCCGGAAATCTGAAAACAGGAAGTAAGCGTGAAGGGTGGGGCCTTCAGGGTGTGCTGGGCGGGACTTGGAGGGGCGGGACTGAGTTCAGTGGAACCAAATGGAAGTGAATCTGAGTGTGAGTGACTAAGGAAGGCGAGGAAAGCTTTTGTTTGTGGTGTGGCGAGTAGGTGTCAACTAACAGTACTTTCCTGGTGCTTACTTCAGTTTCCCATTTATATCTAATAATTAAAAGTATAATTTGGGGAGGTCCCGCGGATGGTTCAGCGGATAAAGAACGGCATTTGCCACCAAGCCTGCCGATCCGAGTTCCATCCCCAGAAATCACAAAGTAGGAGCGGTCGCAGGACGCAGCCCGTAGGCACACACACATACATAAATAAATGTAATGAGAATTGTTTTTAAAATTATAATTTTAGTTTTAATTGTTCATTATTGAATAAAGGCAATGCGTGCATGATGAACTAAAGGTTAAAAATCGAGGACTGGGGAAATGGCTCAGCGGTTAAGAGCACTAGGGTTCAGTTCCTAGTACCCACATGGTGGCTCAGAACTGTCCATGACTACAGTTTCGGGTACCCGACCTCATCTTCTGACCTCTGCAATACCAGGCACACACACCTATTGCACATACATACATGCAGACAAAGCACTCATACAGTAAAATAGAAGCCGGAAGGTTACAAGCTTAAGGCCCATCTATGCTGCATAGCTAGCTTGAGGTCAGACAAGAGTACAAGAGACTGTCTGAAAAAGTGATGGAGAGTGGGGGTGAGGAGATGGGTCCACCTTTAAGATTGTTTTCTGTGCAAACATAAGGACTCGAGTTCAAACCCCATCATCCACATTTTAAAAGAATTTCTTTTATAGGCCAAACATAAGCCTGGCAGTGGTGGGCTGGTACATGGCTTTAATCCCAGCACTCAGGAAGCAGAGTCAGGCAGATCTGAGTTTGAGGCCAGCCTGGTCTACCAAGTGGGTTTCAGAACTGGTAGGACTACACAGTGAAACCCTGTCTCAAAACAAAACAAAACCAAAAAGGTCAGACATGAAGTAATACCTCTCCCACCACCCCTCCACCCCCACCACCCCTCCACCCCACCCCGTGCTGTGGAGGGCAGAGGACAGGGTTACAGCTGAGGCTTGCGGGCTTCCATCCCTGCTCAAAGCTCAGTGACACCCTGCCTCAACATGTCCTGGTTAGTTTTTTGTGAACATGGCATACACTACAGTCATCTGGGAAGGGGAACCTCTATTGAGAGGGTGTCTTCAGCAGATTGGAGCCTGTAGAGAATCCTGTGAGGCATTTACTGAATAATGATTTATGTGGGAGGGTCCAGACCACTGTGGGCAGTGTCACCTCTGTTCATGTTGTCCCAGATGGTATAAGAAAGCAGGCAACAAGCTTAACTAGACAGAGGAGGAATAGGAGATGCTGGCAGACAGAGAAGGAGGATAGAATGAGGGAGACGCCTGGGGAAAGAAGTCAGGCAGCCACTAACCAGCAGACACAAGAAGCAGTAAAAGTAAGATATACAGAAGAAAAGAAACGTAAAGAGCCCCGAGATAAAAGGTATATAAAGAGAAACAAGTTAATTTAAGTTAAAAGAATAAAAGAGCTGGCCAGAGCCTGGTGGTGGTGGTGCACACCTTTAATCCCAACACTTGGGAGGCAGAGGCAGGTGGATCTCTGTGAGTTGGAGGCCAGCCTGGTCTACAGAGTGAGTTCCAGGACTGGCTCCAAAGCTACACCGAGAAACCCTGTCTGGACAAACAAAACAAAACAAAACAGAAAGAATAGATAATAGAGTGATTTTCCCCAAATTTGCCAAATGCAAATAGACTGGATATTGTAAATGTAATCCTTACTTGGTAATTTTTCTTATTATATGTAGCTTTACTATGTTAAAGTCAAAACCCTTTGTTTTTAGATAAAAATGGAAAATGTTGTGGAATATTCTTCTACAGTTTCTATGGCTGTAAAGAGACACCATGACCTTGGCAACTCTTTATAAGGCAAAACATTTAATTGGATGGCTAACATTTTCAGAGGTTTAGTCCATTATCATCATGGCAGGACATGGCAGTGTGCAGGCAGTCATGGTGCTGGAGAAGGAGCTGAGAGTGAAGAAGGAACTACATCTTGATCCCAAAGGCAAGAGGAAGTGGTCTGAGAGTCACACTGAGTGAAGCTTGAGCAAGGGAGACCTCAAAGCTCACCCCCACAATGACACCCATCTATCAACAAGGCCACCTTACTCCAACAAAGCCACACCTCCTAATCATGCCACACCCTCTGAGCTTATGGGTGATAATTACATTCAAACTACCACACACCCCAAAACCAAAGTAAAGACAAAAAGGGGAGAGGGGCAGAAGGAATGTAACTCATTGGGTGGGTATTTGCCTACCTGGTGTGAAGACCTGGGTTCAGTCTCCAGTATCACATAAAAATGGCTGTGGTGCCACACAACTGTAATCTCAGCACTGGGGAGATAGAGGAGGGAGGATTAAAAGTTCAAGGTCACCCTTAGCTGCAGAGTGAGTTTAGGCTACTCTGAGATACAGGAAACCTTATCTCAAAACTAATAAATTATAGAGAATCCCCAAAAGCTTTTGTTAGTGTTGATTGCCAGTATTGCTAATTACTGCACTGCAAATTAAAATCATGATGGCTTTAACATTTCCATTGATTCATTAAATAATAACCCATTATGTCCTGATTCATAGTAATTAGCGTCATTGGAGCTGTAATTTTAATTTGCTTGGTTTTGTTTGGCTTTTTTCAAGAGACAGGCTTTCTCTGTTTAGCCCTGGCTGTCCTGGAACTCATTCTTTTTTCTTTTTTTGTTTTTTTTTTTCAAGGTAGGGTTTCTCTGTGTAGTTTTGGAGTCTCTCCTGACACTCTTTCTGTAGACCAGGCTGGCCTCAAACTCACGGAGATCCTCCTGCCTCTGCCTGCCATGTACTGGGATTAAAGGCATGCACCACCATGATTGGCTTCATAATTTTAATTTTTCTTTGTTAAAAAAACATTTTCCAAAATTAAATAATCATAGAATGTTGTTTTATTTTTTGCGAAAACCCTAGCACCTGACCAAACAGAGGCAGCTGGATTGGTGTAGCTGTTTGTGTGTTCACCGTTGCAATGCCCCTTCATCCAAGTGTATGATGCGACTCAGCTCCCACGGGCATGTGCTGTAATTGAAGATGCCCGTGAAGACCACACCTTGAGTGGGCAGGGAGAGAATGATAGTGAGGCCCAGCACTGCTGCTTCATTCCCAGTTTGCAAATGAGGAAATTATGGCTAAGAGAAATAAGGGCTTAGCCTAAGTAATGGACTTCTATTTCCCAATTCAAGGGGCAGGCAGGTGCTTACGATGAACAGAAGGACTTTGGGGCTAGCCTACATAAATTCTGTCTTTGCCTACCCAAAAAAATGGGATTACAAGTGTCTGCCTTTCTTCATGGTTTCTGGGGATTTGAACTCAGGCCTTTGAACTTGTACAGTAAACACTTTACTGATGAGTCATTTTCTCAGCCCCAGGTTTTCTTTTCTTTTGCTCCCCATTTCCTCCAGGAAGGACCTCCAATCTCCTGTCTGGGCACCTGGGGCTGAATACGAGGGCTTTCAAACCATGTTGGAGTTGGGCCAGAGAGGAGGACCCTTGCCAGTCAGAACAGGCACTTTCTCAGACCCTTACAGTGTAGCTTCCCCAGGTCACAACTAAGTCTCCAAAGACACGGGTGTCTCAAAGGCGTATTGTATCTATTGTTCAGCCTCTATCAAGGGAGACCTCTCAGCCTCTGTGGCTCTGGGGATGGAGAGGTGCCTCTGTGCAAGATGACAAGGACAGCCTGCCCCTCTTAGCCATACTAGCCATACAGGACAGCTCCTCTTCCTCTCTGGAGCCCTACCTTGCTCTGCTGACTACAGACACACCTGAAGGGCTAGGGTGTGGTCCAGTGGTGGAGTGCTTGCTGCCATGAATGAGGCAGCCCTGAGACACATCCCCCGACACTTTGCCCATGCACACAGTCACACACACCTCTTTGTTTTTGGTTTTGCTGCTGGGGATCAAACCTGAGACTGGACAGTGCTAGGCAGGGGCTCTCCCACCTACCTATACCCGGTCCTGATACTTAGTCCTTGAAATGTTATGTCTTCTCTCTCCCTGTTTTTTTGTTGTTTGTTTGTTTGTCTGTAGTTCTAAGATGAGTCTAGCTGCTGGGTGGTAGTGGCAGAGGCAGACAGATCTCTGAGTTTGAGTCTACCTTGGTCTACATAGTGAGTTTCAGAACAGTCAGAGCTACATGATAAAACCCTGTCTTTAAAAAAAACCAGACCAAACCAAACAAAAACAAAACCCCAAAAAGATGGATCTTGCTATGTGTTATGGGCTGGCTTTGAATTTGTAATTTTCCCACCTCTGACTCTAGAGTATTGAAATCACAGGCATGTTCTATCATGTCTGAGTAAAAATACTACCCTACCTCTCAAAAAAACAAATCAGAAGAAAAACCTATTTCTTTCCTTTCCTAGAGTCAGTCATGGATCTCTCTTGGCCTCCAGTTGGTTAACACGCCTGAATGATGCTGTCCTGACAGCTTGAGGTTAGGGACTCCACAGCCACAGAACTCTCTGGATCCACATCTGGTGTTTTGCCAAAACGCAACATGGAAACACTATCACATATAGGCAACTGTGTCCTGCAAGTTCTAAATTTTATTCGTATAACTAAAGTTTTATTAGCCGACAGTGGCTGAGTTGTCCCCAAGGCAGTGATTTGACGGTTTGGCCTCCCCAGATTCACCCCTTCACACACACTTGCTCCAGGTTTGCTCTGTGTCTGACTTCCTGAGGGCAGGGACAATTCTGTA